AAACCATTATACCCTGATTTCCCATTTTCAATGGGTTCAGGGTATAAAAAAAGTCGAGCGGGGTAAACTGCGCAGCGAAAATAAATACGAAAATGCAAATCGAAAGCGCAAAATAGAAAGCAATTGATATTTGCAGCAAGGCATAAAATGCAATCACTTGGCATTTCAGTTTCAAATAGTCGACGGTTTGCTAAAAATCAAATCAAATACGCAACTGCACTTTGGATATATATTAATTACAATTAGAATCAGAGTTAGCAAAAAAAAAAAAAAACAAATAAACTTAAAATGTATTAAAATCAACGCATAATCGTGTAAACCGAACCGTTTTAGAAAATCCATATTTTTATATAACCGCGAAGGGGCGAACCAAGCAGCACCTGAAGCAGCATCGAAATGGGAATTCCGGATATACGACAGCTGGTCACACTGGAGTTCGAAGTGTACGGACATGTACAAGGTGGAGTGCGAATCTCATATCTAGTAAAACTTGCAGATGCGTTCGCCTTTCCAAACGCAACCCAGTCGCTATTGCTATTGCCATGGGCTAAAAATAACTCTTATACCGTAGCTCGGCATTTGGATGTCCTTGGCTTTGTTTAATGCCCACACAGTAACCGAAAGACAAAGTAATTATAGCTGACAATGTTTGTATAATCGACAGGCTTGAATTTCACAAAAGAAACGCGGGATCGTTGCACCAAGGCAGGTATCACAGGTTGGGTCAAAAACAGTAAACAAGGAACAATTGTTGGCAAAATGCAGGGCGCCAAGGTGGAGGTTGACAAAATGTATGTAGTCACGCAATGTGTTACTGATCATTGTGATTTACTAATGTTTCGATTTCGAATCTAGGATTACTTGGTTGTCCACCGAAGGCCCGCCAGGCTGCCAAATCGAACGATGCGAACTGCGAAATCAAAGCAATTTAAATCGACTGGATTATAAAGACTTTGCAATTAGATTTTAAATGTTGTACAGTCTAATATTATTGTGTTTGTTTTCTTTTTGTGCACTATTTCGATAAGTTTCTAGACATCAATAAACAATTTCTAATCCCGTAAATAAAACACTACAATGCACATATGAATTGAAATCTATTTGGGTTTCAATACATTAGAGTAACATACTTTATAGCAACATTTGCATGTCTTATACTATATCTGCTAGACCTAGAGATCGTTTAGCACGACTGGAAACGACCGGCGGCCTTCATGCGCTCGAAGGACTTGTTGGCGTCATATTTCCTGTAAATAGAAACCAAACTTGTATTCCAAAGCCCATTGATATGTACATATTGATTTTAATACTGACTGGTAGAACTCAGCATAGGCAGCTTTCTTTGGGTCGTTGACCAGGATTTTGAAAGCAACTGTAATAACTGCAGTTAGTCCAAGCGCTACGGCCAGATTGCGCTTGATGGTCGCATTGTGCAGACCACGCAGGACGGGTCCGGCGCTGCTGGAGGTTGCTGGAGTGTTGGCCATGTTAATGTTACGGTAACTGTAAGTAAAATTTTCATTGGTCAGTTGTTATGTAACAAATTGATGCGAAAAAAGCACTTGCGAATAACTCAAATGACATAAAAAGGTTTGTTTAATAAGCCTATGGAATTCAATTCGAATTGTATTATTTATTTGAATAAACCGACAATATATTGCAATTATAAATACGATTAAAATTATTTGACTCACTTTTGCAGAGAATGTTCACTATTAATGATGCCACACTATAAAAATATTCTAAACGAGTTGCCACAGTACGCAAAGGCCGTACAGTGCTGCCACTATACTTGAATATTGAAATCGTTAATGGAATATGCTATATCTGCTAAATACATTTTTATTTACATATCGCGACCCAATATTTACGTTTAGTTATCTTTAATATGTCATTTACATAATATATATACTAACATACTAAATACAATTGTGATACTCATACCCATGAAACATTAAAGAACATATATTTCTTTGTGTTCTCTACCTATATCTATGCAAACATTTTTAAGTTAACTTTTACATTTTAATTAATTAATATTGGAAATCCTTCATCGAATCAGAAAAAGAAAATTTTAACAATGTCCATTTATTTGATTTCGAAATTCTGAAAATATATTTGCTGGCATTTTTAGTACATTTCGAATAGGAATATAAGGCTAACACTGACTGGAAAATAAAAATGGCTACCACTAAAGGCGAATGCAAATGGCGGTTGTTATTGTTCGTGGAATTGCAATAATTACGAAGATTTTTTTACAAAATAAACAACAAAAACACTACTATAAAGAAATACCAATAGGCTTAAAACCAAGTAAAAATATTCTGTTAACTGCTTGTATAGTTATAAACTTTTTACCAGCTCGTACGTCGGTTAAAACAACGCCACAAAACTTTGTCCAAACGCAAATTGTGACAAGAAAAATATTCAACGCCAGTGAAAAGCAATATTATTTATTTTCAATGCATGAAATGAACAACTGTGACACCACAATAATTCACTCCAAGCTGTGAAAAGTGCATTATACAATTTGCAAATAGTGATGCGTCCAATTTCAAGCAATTATCTGCATTGAAAAACGTTGGAAAAACTCTCAACCATAAGTCCGATTCAGCCAGCAGAGGAGCGCCCAACTACTGCCCGCCTTCACCCGCACTCCACGTTGTCTTTAAATAAAAAAAAAAAACGCGTCAAAAAGGAAACAAGATGCAGAGGTTAAAGTTAAATAAAATAAAGTGAGAAGTAATGCTATGCTCCTTTTATGTATGTGCATACATATGTATATATGTAGGCAGAAGTGCTGACAAAGACAAAAATAACAACAGCGTTTCAGTTACAGTTTAACTGCATAACGTGAGCAAAGAAAAAATACAGTGTGTGCAAGGCGGTAAAGAGTGTTGGACCTGTGTTTTCGTGTCATAATTCATGATATTAATAACAACGACGACTAGAAGCCCGCAATAGTGGAAAATGTGCGCAAAGCAAAGATGCAATTGTTTAAATGCAAAGGACGATTTGATGCGCGGTTAATAATTTGGAATACAAATACGAATTTATCCAATACCCACGATGATGATTTTGCTACGCATCCGTGCTTATAGAAATAGTTATAGCAAAAATTGTGTGTGCATGTGCTAAATGCAAAATTTGTGCAACACTTTGCCAATTAAATCTACGACGGGTACGATTGCCGTGTGATGATATGCCACTTAAACAGGTGAGTACGAGTGCACACATATACGTGTGAATGCAATGCAGTTTCTGTGTCTTCCCGACTCACTTTCATCTATAATTATGAACGCTTTACTGCCTCGAGTATTCTCTTGCCGCAAACTTTGCAAAAACAGCTGATTCGCGAGTATTGCATTTGTTGCGACTAAAGAATTTAGAGGTGGTGGGGTCGTGGTTGTGGTCGTGGTCGCCTATTAAACACTTGCGTCACCCACGCCGTTTTCATTTACTGAAAACACGGTTTTTGGACGTGTCATGCGTTTAGCGTATCTTTGGGTGTGTGAGTGTATGTGTGTGTAATTCTTTTTTTTTGTGTTTGGATTTGGGATTTTTTTAACGGTGGGCAGTGTAAGGAACGAAGGTAGCCACAGTAGTATTTTGGTTGCCTTTTTCTTTCCCCTCTTACACACAACCCTTTTAAAGAGTCCGAAGAAAATGGCGACGGGGTATCGATAACATGGAACGAAAATGAGAACGTGAGCAACCTGTGTGCACAGGAAATTTTGAATTTTTCTTTGTATTTGTATTTGAAGTACTGCCAACAAAGTTTAAAATCTTACTGTTTCTTTTAGATGCAGTCGTTAAAACGACAAAAATTCATAAAATATTTCTGTTGTTAAAATAAATTGTTGTTGGAATTTCCAACAAGTACATATAACCATCTCGCTCGCACACTGCACGAACAACCAGCACAAAACAGAAACGTCAAAATATTTAATTGTTTTTTTTTTTTAGCTTTCCTCACCCTGTCTGACTAAATAATTAACAAGAACTAATTTGATGAATTATTATCGCTTGAATTAATTATAAATTATAATTTATAGAATATATACTCTGTTTACTGTGTAGATACACACATGTCCAGACGTTCAGAGTTTTTTTCGTGTTTTCTGTTTATCAGGGCTGCAAAAACCATTTAGTTTCCGATGAACGATAATTGTGAATATATCGTGAATTGACACACCGCTAGAAATTTCTTTGCCTCCTGCTTCCTTAAATGTATAGAATTTTCAATGCATTATTTAAACAAATTCGCAAATTTACAGCAGCTTGAACCGTCTTTGCGGATATCGGTGTCGCTCCCGTGGGAGGCAGCACTACGACTGCGTCAACTGGCCGTTGAAGGCAATCCCACCTTGCGTGCGCTCGGGATTCTTTCCGTTCAGCCTGAAGGCGATTCTGTGATAGCTTTAAAAGTTGGAGGACAAGATATTAAAATAACAAAAGGTATGTATTAGGCAGACAATGAAAATATTTTCACTTGAATCAATTTTAATGCGTGATCTATATCCATCTTTAAAGATAATTCAAACGATGTCGCAGGCGGTGCATTTGAGGCGGCTGGCACGTCTTCCAACAAAGCCGCTCACGTCGTTGGCGCTGCCAACTTGGCGACAACGCATTTGGTGGCACCAAGTTTCGATGGTCCCAGTACAAGCAAAGCCGCCTATGTGCAGCAACAACAACAGCAACATCAGCGACTCACGCAACTGCCGCAGAACGATGCAATCTCAAGCCAGCAGCAATTACAGCAGCAACGGCGAAATGTACTACCACAGCAGAAATTAATGCAGCAGTCGCTGCCGCCGCCGCAGACTCCACCTTCGCCGTACAGTAATGCATCTACGACTCCGCCTGTTTTTAAGTCGCCCAACACGGTTTGTCCAATGGAAGGCAAGGTGCCACTGCTGCCTTCTCCTGCAGGTACACTTAATGTGCCAAGAGATTTCCCATTCGAAAGTATGCGACAGGCACGCGTCCTGCAGGGCAGGGATACAGCTGCAACCACAGGTGGCATGAACACTCTTGGTCCACCGCCTCCGCCTCCAATTGCTACACTCAATCTGTTGAATAATCAATCAGCGCAAAATGGCGAGGTTATTGCGACGACAATTGTGGCGGGAACCCCCAATAAATCTCAGTTCATAAATCCGCCTCCGCCATATCCTGGTCTTGGTCCTAGTACAGGCACGAGCTCAAGTTTGACTGCTTCTAATAACAACAATCCAGCAGTTGCTGCAACAAGTACGAAACCCGCGCAGACCTATAATATGCCTATGTCGTCGTCATCCTCTGCAACAGCAGCGCCTTCAACAACATCGACAGGCAGTAATAACATTGCAATATCATCTCCGCTATTGGTAAATTTGCTGCAAAATGACGGTAATGCGATAACGAGTCAAATGAAATCGCCCCAGCTGACGGCGCCAGCGACACCCCAATCGCCTATTGTGAGCATGAGTCCAAGTGCTCAAATGATGAACTCCAGCTCACCAATGCGTTGCTCTTCGGCCACGCCCAGTGATTTTGTCATGGGAACAACAGGTGCGCCGCTAGACAATGGTAATGTGCCTAGTCCGGTAGTGCCATCCTCTCCAACAGGCGGCGGCCCCGTAATAATGCGAAATATGCCGAATCACCAACAACAACAACAGATGCTGCTCAGTCCCAGTAGTAATGCGAGTCTATATAACCAAGTGCCCGCACCACATAGATTTCAGCATGCGGTTGCACTGCGCCATCAGCAGCAACAGGTACATCAACAGCAGCGCCATCACCAAATGCAGGGCATACATCCGCGATTCATACCACCCCAGCAGCAGCAACAGCAACAACAGCAACAGCAGCAGCAGCAGCAGTTTCTTGGACAGCAACAGTCAACTGGTAAGCATGAAATCAGCCGCAACAGGGAAAGCATATATCTAAATGATTTTTATTTACACAGATTGCTTCACTAATATAAACCTGCAACAGTCGCAACAGCAACAATTGAGGCAGCAGCAAATCCGAGCCGGTCTACCACCACCACATCCGCAGCAACATCAGCGACTTATGAGCATGCCATTGTCTTCGCCCCAGGCGCAGCAGTTTATGTCACATGGTGGCGCCTCGCCCATTGCCCATTCACCTGCCTCCAGTCATCACTCGATGCACAGTCCGCTGATGGGCAATCATCAGGGTCAACCTCCATCGCTGCTTTCGCCTTCGACGACACCCAAGAGCCCACATTCGCAGCAGCTGTCACAGCTTCAGCAGAAGCAAAAAGAGATGACGCCAATCTCAAATATGCAACATGCTAACCTTGTACCTGTAGCTGGCGCGGGCAATGCTCAGCTGCCACCACCACCTGACTACAATCAGGCGGCGGCAAATTCGCGCTGGCCCGCGCTCAACAAACCGATGGATTCGGTTACTAAGAGCAGTTTCCAGGAGTTCACCCGCTATCAGATGCAATACAATCTGCAGCAACAACAAATCAATTTAGGCAACGGTCCAGCACAGACTACGGCGGCACCTAATACCGGCGACATGGTGCCCCCGGGAACCGGGCAACGGCAGCTACAACAGCAACAACAACAGCAGCAGCAGTTATCGATGCCAACGCAACTGCAGCCATTAGTGCCACAGCAAGCGCAGAATGTGACGAATGTTTCAAACGTTGGTCATGGCCTCAATGATCCATTAATATCGTTGTCTGACCTGGATGCCTTAACAACCAACGACTTGGACGCTTTACTGCCAACTCTAAACTGTGATCTAGACTCAACGCTGAGCCTTGAGGATAAAAACGAACTCGAATCGTTGCTTCAGGATGCTAAGGACCTAGACTTGGACTTAATCGAGGATAATTTGTCTGCGGTCGGTATGGACGTTGGAGATGCGTTGAGCACGCTGCAGGATGCGTCTGGATGTATAGATCAGTCACAGCAACAGCCCCAGCAACAGCAACAGCAGCAACAACAAACTCAAATGCTGGACATGCAGTCATTCAACCAGCAGCAATTATTGCAGCAGCAGCAACACCAGCATCAACAGAGACAACAGCAATTTAATCAATTGCAACAACAACAGCAGCAGCGGCAGCAATTGCAGCGCCAAATTCAGCAGCAACAAGTGACGCACCGCTCCCAACAGCAACAACAGCAGCAGCAACAACATCAACTTCAAATGCAACAGCAACAGCAGCAGCAACAAGTGGACAGTACACAAGCTGCTGCCCAAAAGAAACTGGCGCAATTGCAGCAACAACAACAACAACAACAGCAGCAGCAGCAACAACGTCAAGGAAATATGCAGCAAAAGCAATTCATTATAAATCCTCACACCGGTGACATGGAGCCCATGGCTAGTGACGATAGTGATACGGAGGCCGAGCAGGAAACAACACAACTGCAATTCCGCAGCATGTCAAGTAGCCTGAGCGGCTATGCGGGCTTTAATCCTGCAAACGATATGATGCTACCGAACAACCTATTTTCCGAGGAAGATTCAAACTCTGCAATGTCTGGAGGTCAACAGCTTCCGCTGGCGGGCAGCAGTGATCAGGAGAGATCTCGTGATTCGATGGCCTCGAACAAATCAGCATCGAATCGATCAAGGAAAATGCCGCAGCTTAAGCTAAACCACAACAATCAGAATCAGCAACAGCTTAACCAGAAGCTGCAAATGTCTAACTCGGGCCAGCCTATGCAAATGCAACAGGTGCAAATGCAGTCAACCACACCAACCGGCGACTCTCCTCGATCGGGCAACAGTTCTCCGTTGATTGGCACAATCGGAACTACCACTGGCAATAGTAAGAAAGCTAAACCGAATCTTCTGCGGGAGAAATTACAGCAGGGCATGAAAGAACGGAAAGCCAAAGACCCAGCAACACCCGCTACTCCAAAGGCGAAGCGGGAACGTGCTAAGGGCAATGCTAGGACCAAGGCAGCTGCAGCAGCAGTGACTGTGTCTAATTCATCGGCTGAGGACGAAAAAATCAAACTACGATTAAAAGTAGAGAAAGTTGATGTACAACAAGCGTCATATGAGCATCAGCATGTTCAACTTAATGCCATAATGGACAGCAATCATTTGCAGCAGCACCAACAACATCCGATGCAAACACAATTAATGGCTCTACCTACGTCGCAGCAGCAACAACAACAGCAGCAGCAACAACAGCAGCAGCAACAACAACAGCAGCAGCAACAACCGCAGCTACAACAACAACAGCAGCTACAGCAACAGCAGCAACAACAACAACAACACCATTTGCAACAACAGCATCTACAACAACAGCAGCAGCAGCAGCAACAACAACAACAACAGCAGCAACAACAACAACAACAACAGCAGCAACAACAACAACAACAGCAACAACAACAACTGCAACATCAAAACCATGCTGTGTACAGTAATTTCCAGAACCAACAACAAATTGGCCAACAGCAAACTAGTGCTGCAGGACTGAGTGAGCCGCGCGTACCGCCGCTGCAGATTCGTCTCCGGGGCAAAAACTCGGTGGTTGTAAAGAATACACGCAAGGAGCGCAAGAAGGCACCAGCATCGGCAGATGAGGGGCAAAAAGCTCGGCAAATAAAGCGCTCCTTTAGTGACCAGGAGGCACAACAACAGCAACAGCAAGCAGTCGAGGGTGCACCGGAAAGCAAGCAATCTAAGTTAACGCCTGTGCCGCATGTCAACGGATTACCAAACTCTGGTATTATATTGCAAAAGGCACCGCAAGCACCGTCTTCGCTGCCGCCACAATCAGTTCATCCAGCGCAACAATTGACAACAGGTGCTAAGACCACAACTATAGTAGCCGGCAAGAACGGGCTTACGATCAGTGCCATTGTGGAGGCGCATAAGTCTCAGGCCGGGGATGGACAACTGTCAACCGTGGGCTCTACGAACACTGGTACGGCGACAACACTGCAGCAACAACAACAGCAGCAACTGAGCAAGATTGCGACCTCGCTGCCAAGCAGCATCACCTTAAGTGCAATCACAAGCACAGCAACCACCAACAACAACAATAACAATAACAATAATAGCAACAATAATAACAACATTAACAGTAGCAACAGCAGCAGTAACAACAGTCGCATGCTGAGCAACATAACACTGAAGAACCCCATTAAGACTGCAGCTACCATCACGCCGATTGTGGGTGGAAAGCCAATGACAAAAAACCATAAGCCGCCGCCGCCATATATGACCGCTGTGCAACAGGTGCATTTACAGAAGCAGCAACAGCAGCAGCAGCAGTTACAGAAGCAACAACAGCAGCAGCAGCAGCAGCTACAGAAGCAGCAACAGCAGCATCAGCAACAACAACTGGCGGCGGCCGTAACCATGCTGCCAAGTGCGACAACGCTCAAGCGTGTCGAGATCACCAAATTGGCGCCAAGCAGCGCCGATACAGCAACAATAACAGTCACCACACCCTCGCCATCCACGCCAACAGCGACAGCAACATTGTCAATGCTGGGCGAAAGAAAACTCCCAGTTGCGATTTCGATGAACTCGAACTCGATTGTCAATAACAATGTTAATGAGAGTGCAAATACTAATACGAATGTACCCGTCATGACGCCGGCACATCCCAAATTAAATCATGTAGCTCTGCAAACGGTAGTCAATTCACCAGGCGTTACGTCGTCCCCAACACCAATATCAACTCCGGCTCCGGCTCCAACGCCAACACCAGCATCTGTTCTCGCGAACACGCTGCGAAACTCACCGGCGAGTAACGGCAGCGGCACTCCCGGCCACGGCAACAATGGCGGCGGCGAAGACAGCGGGATTGAGTCTATGGATGCGCTCTCTGAGAAGAGTCCGCACCAGCAATCATCCAGCAGTCCCATACAAATGCAACAACAAATGATTACAAAGCAAGCAACAAGTTCAGCCTGCACATCGACAACGATAACCCAATCTTCAACAGTTGCAACAGCGGTGCAGACACCGAGCACGGGAAATAGTAAACTGCAGCAGCTACAGAACGCCGATGATGAAATTGAGAAGGCGCTTGCCAAAATGGAGGGCGAATTCGCGGAGGAATTTGTAGCCACAGCGCGAAAGGAGAACACTGCGTCCAGCATTGGAGGTGATTTTCATTTGACAACAACCAGCACTAAAATGAATGGGGAGCATGATATATTCGAGCACGATGATCTCATCAAGAAGCTGACGGACAATTTAGAATCGGAGGATACGAAAAAGCCGTTGCCTACACCAGCTACAGACGTGATAGTTGCGACCGTAGCAGAGCCAAATCCGGATATTAAGATAAAAATAGAAAACATCAAACTGGAGGAGCTGCCAACGGTGCTGCCGACTAAAAAGGAGGCTGACGAGCTGGATAATCGACAATCGACTCCATCGAGTGGTTCTTCTGTTAAACAGGAGTCTGAGCCCGAGCAAAATCCGGCATCTACCCCGATTAAGGAGAATGAGGTAGTCGATGAGAAGGAAAAGCCTCAGACTGAATCCCTGCAGCCCATATCCATTGAGATTCCCCCTCAGTCGGACGCTGAAACGCCACGAATTAGAACTCGCGCCACCAGTCGTCTAGAGAGTCCATTGGATGCTCAAAAGAGCAGCCCAGAAGCGCAACAGACAACTGTAGTTGTTACAACTACAGCTACGACTGCAGCAACGACAGCGACAGCGTCTAACAGGAGCGCAACGAGGGTCGCGTCGATTCCGAGTCCCCGGTTGGGAACGACGGCTCCAGTGCATAACAATAACAACAACAGCAGCATGAAGCGTCGTCGGCAGGAGTCGGAGTGCGGCAGCAGCAACGACGGGGCTAACGATGCGAACCTTCTCATTGAGACTAGCAGCAACAAGCGCACGCGTATCAGCAGTGGCAGCAGTAGTGGCAACAACAACAACAATAATACCACTGAGGCCACAGAGCCAACGGGTCTGAATTACATGCACACCAAAAAGATTGAGATCGAGTCTTCTGACTCGGACGAGCCCCTTATTGAGGTAGCGGGCAAGGTGCGCAATTCGAAGGCTCAGGTTGAGGAAAAGCACGTGACGCGACGAAACGCCCAGCAACAGCAGCAGCAGCAACAACAAAGTAAGTATATTGAAAATTTGAACATGCTTGGTTACTATTTAAATTAATGAATTATATCTGGCATTTCTTTCAGAAGCTCCCAGCTTGAATGCAACACCGACGCAGGCACAGAAGACTGGAAAATCACAGCCCAATGCAGCAAATAACAACAATAATAATAGTAATAATAATAATGCGACCTTACAGACGGTCAGCAATGCGACAATAGCTGGATCATCAAGCAACAGCAACAGTAGCACAGGTGTAGTGCACGCAACACGTGGCGCGACGGCAGCCGCTGCCACCAGTGGCACCAGCAACAACAGCATTTCTAATAACAACAACATTGTGAACGCCAATTCGCCAACGGACGAAAAGATTGGAACGAGGAGGAGCGTAAGAGCGAGCGCTGCTGCTAACAAGATCATATATAGTCGCAGCAATGCGGCCGCGGCTGCTGCTGCAGCTGCCGAGCATAAAAGTACTCCAAGTAAATCAGCAGCCGGTGCTGCCAGCGTAGTCAGTGGTGTCAACAGCTCAAATGCAAACGCCAGTTCCGAAAGTGTGGCTGAAGCGCGGCGAAAGACGCGCAGTGCAGGTAAGTTGACTGCATTATCGGTTGGTAGTGAAAAATTTGTTACAAAGTGAAAAATTTTAGTTATTGGTGAAGCTACATTGACCGAGGGACGAAGAAGAAGGACTTCGCGTGATTACAAGTGACCAGAGTTTTGCGCCTTGGCTAAGGGAATTAACCATACGAGCGATGCTGAAGAGGACGAATTAATTAAGCTGATCGAACTGGATACTGCGGATCGGTTTGATATCAGCACCAGTTTCCCATTGGCCCAGGCGCAAAACGTCGAAGGAGACGTCGACCAGAATAACAGCGTTAATATCGATATTGGAGATATAAAAGAGGATATCGTGAATATTTCTTCAGCGCTGACACTCATCGGAACAACAGATAAAAGCGCTCTTGATTACCTGGATGAGGAGAGAGCTGAGGCCGATGATTTGCATCTAATGACGTACCAGAACAGCAGCGAAGTGGACGCTGAAGTAAATGTGGACGCTGTTAGCCTGCTCATGCCAGATCTGAGCAATGCCACAGCCTTAGACTGTGGCAACTTTGTCGACTACGATGAATTCAACATGTGTCTGAACAACATTCTGAGCGAGAAGGATGATCACGATCTCATGGACTGCGATGCAAGTGGAAGTGCAAATATAAATAGTGGCAGACACCATCAGCAGCAGCAACAACAGCAGCAATGGCGTGACGTCAACGAAGTGCTCAACATTATGCCGCTGCGATTTCAGGAGTTTGCAACTGAGGCAAGCATCACAGGCGATGATCGGTCCGCTAGCAGTAGCTCCTCACAAATGGCATAACGGCGTCGCTTTGATTACCGATTGTTCAAAATGATTATTTCTGCAGTTATGTAAATAGCTTAAACTCACATACAAACAGACAAAACACACAAATGCCAATTATTTCGTTTGTACAAAGGTTTTGTAAAGTTTTTTTCCTTGAATTTTTTTGTATAGTTAGTTGTATTCAAAGGTTGCAATAATGTTGCATCTCTAAACGAGCAGCATCACACTCACATATACATATATATATATATATATATACCCATGTTTCACTTAATTTTTAATTCGAAACTTCTCTCTGCTAATTTAGCGCTGCTTTCCATTAATCCAAATCCAAATATCCCTTGGTTAATAGATTTACTAGTCAAGTGAAACAGACAATTTGTGTAAAGATCAAAACATTTATTGAACAAATTAGTTGAAAATTTATACATGCAAAATTTATACAAAAATAATAAAATGAAAAAAAAAAACACAAAAATAGTAGTTTACCCCGACACCTTGCTCTATGACGCATGCGTTTTCATTTTCTCATCTAAGCAATTGTATATACTTTAGACATAATTCAAATAGATGCAACACAGTTAAACACATTTTTTAGAAAAGGTAAAACGAAAAAATAAACTAATGTTTATCTTTATGATCCAAGCTTAACATAGAAAAGAAACAAACAAAACAGACCATACTTTTATAATTTTATTTTTATTATATATCTAATTATATGCACACGAAATACAGATATAGTCTCTATAGTTTTATATGCATACGTTTGCGTTGTTTCGAAAAATTTGTTTTTTAGTTTTAAAAGCTTTGTTGTAAGTCATATACATAATATTAAATAAAAAATCCTCTACCAATACATATGCACATATAAACCTCTGCAATAAGTTAGTCAAGGAAAAACACGAAAAAATACGTGTATACCAGAGAGAAATATATAAAAAGTGTTTGTAGTTTTGCAAAGCGAATAAAAATATGTATATACTTATATACAAAAAGAAGATTTAAAAAAACGTATATAATGTTATATATTTTGCATACACAAAACAAGAACAAAAGAGAAAAAAATATATAAGAAAAAAACAAAAAAGGAATGCAAAAGTTGTATTGTATATAAAGCAGGCTCTATTTTTGCTAAATGTTATTTAAACAAATAGGGGAAAACAAAGATGCATAGCAGAAGCAAAGCGCTAAACAAACACATTAAATAAATACAAATAATAAATAAATATTTCTTTAAACGCATACATATATATTGTTCAATATTATTATCTTATGTGTATTGTATGATTGCTATTTAAATAAGTCTTTTGATACTTTGTACATGTTTAATTTAATGAAAGATTGAAAAGAAAACTTATGTAAAACCACGACCCCTAGAATAACATGCATATATAGTACCGATATATGTATATATTATATCTCTGAAAAAGTATATATAAAGCAAATTCGTTTATGCATACAAAACCTCATTACAAAAAAAAAAAAGAAAAAAAAAACAAAAAAAAAACCATGGATGTCAACAATTTTAAGCATATTTAGTAAAGTTTTCACATGTTTCCCCACACAAATTTCACAAATATAAAAATAAAACTCAAATTTATTGCAATAAACAAATGCTAAAGGCAAAATTGTATAAACATAATTCTTATATTGCCAATACCAATAAACACAAATTCATGCAACAAAGACATAATACACACACACCCACATAAAAAGAAAACAAAAAATAAATAAAAAAAATATTAAAAAGCAAATGCATTCAACACAAGATGAAGAACAACAAAAATAAAAACGAAAGTGTCTTAAAACGTAGTATTAGAAGTTTATTATTAATAATTTGTTTGTACTTTAACTTTAAAGTAAAAAATTATTTATAGAAAAAAAAGAAAATACAAAGATTTAATATACACAAAAATTAAAAAAAAAAAACTTAGTGTATCATTTATTTAGGGTTTACTAATTCAATACAAGAGCTTATATATTTTATTTCGGTCGAACATGAATTGAGCTGATACTAAGAGACAAAATACATAATGTCTCTCCCTCATTGAGGAAATCAGGATTAATCCTTTTGCAGTCATTCTAATTAAATTATTTTATGTATTATAGCACAAAAGGTAAGACTAACGTCAGTTCAATGATAAAAAAAAACGTTGATATATGGACTCAAACAGATCGGCTAGTAATTTAAATAGGTGACACTGAGATTATCGCTTTAATTAAAATTAAGTTGCTTAAAATAATTTAATACATTTTTATTGAAAATAATACTAAATCCATTAATGCGAAATTTCTATTAAAAGAATATTTCGTTAAAATGGACTTAACGAAATAAGAAGCAAGAGGCGAAAAAAGAATGAGAGAGAGAGAGAGAGAGAGAGATACAGGTGTGGGAAAAGTATGTACATTCAACAGATGAAAGCTTGGGCCCCAAATAATATAGAATATACCCAAATAGCAAACGTGTTTTACCTCAATTTTAAAACATTTCACAGCGCATTTTAATATCGTTTTGCTAATAAAAAGTGGTTTGAGTATAAATAAATGAATATAATTGGAAATTAATTATTTATTCCAAATACTCAAAAAATTGTTGTTTTTTTTTATACTTTAACCGAATATTCTCGAAGCTATAGAGCGTTTGGAATGAGGGGGTTTCAGATGAAATCATTTCAGAGAGCCAAGACTCCCGTTGTATAATAGTAAGATCTCCATTTGTCAGAAATACTTAATTTCGTACCAAAATAGTATAGATATTAAATAATCAAAATGATGGAGAACCTAACTCGAGCTGAGTTAAGTTGAGTTGAGTTGCTGTTGTCGGCAGGCATCACGAGTTGCTTCCACAGCTGCTCTCATGGCGCCTGCGCAGGCAACGGCATCGGCAATGCCATAGGGCGTGCTCTGAAGTGGCATAGGCAGCCAGCAAAGGGCAGCAAAGGCCAGCGGACAGGAGAGGACGAAACAGTTGAGTGTGAGTTGCCGTTAGGAGCAGCACGGCAAAGCTGTCCGGCGAAGCTGACATAGCAGAACGCAATAAATTAAGAAACCTCGCATAGGTGAGCGCATTAAGCAGCAAGTGGTGTACGCTCGCGAAGCTTCACTGTAAACGTGCTCCCCTGACGCGAGTTAAACAAAGGTATATATACATATATGGGCCATCAAATACATGTTTCAATTTATGCATCTGAAATATCTGCGAAACAGTGGAAATTCACATAAAATTATTTCTTAAGTGCTGTGAGAATAAAATGAGTAAAAGCGTTAAGAGTTTGCAGCTGTATTGAAGTTCTGCCCAAAGACTTAACGCATTTGCTAAAGCAACAAATATACATATGTATGTATATAGAATATATATATATTTTTTCGGTATATTCGCTGTAAACTGTGCTGACTAGTGTAGTGTTTGTTTTAAAGGACAAGTCGAATAATAACCAAAACAAAAGCAAATGTTGACACTCATGGATGACGTCCTACTTTTCATATATACTATGTCTATATACATATACATATATAAAAGTGTGTGCGTACGTGTATGCGTGTATTGGCGAATGTTTGCTCTATGACGTATTCATGGCTGGGGATGTTGGGTTAGTGGGTTAATGGTTTGGGTGGTATGCCGCCCCCACTGCTGCGGGCCGGTCGACTTTTATGGCACATTAACAACTCGGAGTACACAGAGTTATTTACAACAAAAATACCCAAATAACTATATTAGTAAATGTCTTAGGCATAATTCAGCATATAATGCAATGAAAATAGTCTAAGCTGCTAGAATTTCAATATATTTAACTGTGTCAGAAATGAAAGAATCTTTTAAAGATTCTTAGAGTCAAGTTGGAAACATTTAAGGAAATCCTATTTACAAGTATTATCTTATGAGATTCGGCTTAAATCTTAAATCTTTGCTGTATATGATTACAGCATTTTTGACAAAAGGGCCTACAAAAATAATGATATAAAATCAATTATCATTAGAATAGAGTTATAAATATAATTTCTCAAGCAACTCAAATAGAATTTTAGTAGAAATTATGAATGCTGAAGATAAATTCGTTCAACTCAAGATAGTCGATAAAGATAAGGTCGAAAAATATGTAGAATAAATAATAGATATCCATAGGTCACTTTACTTACCTAATAATATTATAAGATATATGAATAACTAACTTACCCGGAAAATCCTCTCTTCGTAGCAGCGTTCAGTCCCATCCGTGACCTGTAACATGTAGTGGCTGCCGAGTGGTGGCTAGCAGAAGAGGGATCTGGACTCCACGCAAAATGCACATCCGCCTGTGGACGGGAAGACGCCTGCACACGTACCTGAAGATAGGCACCTTTGTGTTAGTGGGCATCTGTTACTTTGCCTTTCTGTTCCGCGAATCGCTCAATGCGTTCGAGCATCGGGAGCGCGCTACGACCGCCGAGCTGGAGGCAGCCGAGGCATACGCCGAGCCGTCAAAGCAGCAGCTGAAGCTCAAGCGCCAACAGCTCCATCGACAACGTGCGCTGGCCCGTCTCAGGGCTAGCCTGCAGGCGAATCGCAGCGCTGCATTGGCCGAGGAGGCGCAAAACGCCGTCTCGGCAACCACCTTGAATCCCGTGTACGAATACTCCGAGGAGCTGCACAGCCGCACTGAGCATGAACTGAAGCTGCGACGCGATCACCTGGCGACTGTTTGCGACCGATACAAGCTTCAAGAAAAGTACCCACCGAACCCTTGGGAGTTCTTCATCTCGCCCGGCCATAATAATCTGGTGTGGTGCAATGTCTTCAAGGCGGCCAGTAGCACGTGGATGTACTACTTCAACATACTGGGTGAGTGAGAGACGTAGACGAGAGAAGGTAGAGAAGAGAAGAAGAAAATACAAGAGAAGGGAGAATAAATAATAGAGATTATAGATTTTAACAGATGGTATTAACAGAAGAAAAAGAGCAATAAGATACCAGATATGAAATATCAGATATGAGATATGCGATATGAGATATGCGATATTAGATATGAGATATGACATATAAGATATGAGATTTGAGATATGAGATATTAAATATTACATATTAGATATGAGATATTAGATATGAGATATGATATATGAGATACGCGATACGTGATAGGAGATACAAGATACGAGATATACGATTTGATATATGAGATACGAAAAATGAGTTATTATTGATTTTCCTTTCTTTACTTTAGCTGGCTACGATCTAAAGTATCTACAGCGAACGGAGGTTCAGCCCCTGGAACTGGCCCGCCAACGCTTTCCCCGCCCTGAGCTATCCGAGCTGGTTGAGCTGCTGCCCAGTGCGTTGTCCTTCCTGTTCGTGCGCGATCCCTTCGAGCGCATCCTTAGCGCGTATCGCAACAAGCTTGAGGGCAACCGGAACAGCTTCTACAAGGCACTCGGCACCAAGATCGTTCATCGCTATCGCCGCCGCAGCTTGAACGTTGTCTTTCCCCGTTGTGGACCTACTTTCGAGGAGTTCGTGCGCTTTCTCATTCAGGAGCATGCGGCGGGCAATCGCTTCGACGAGCACTGGGCTCCCGTCTACAGCTTCTGTACGCCGTGCAGCGTGAACTTCACGATCATCGGAAAGACAGAGACATTTCAGCGAGACTCTGAGTTCATCATAAGGCAGGCGGGATTGGAGTCGTTGCTGCTGGGGAAGCTGCCACGGCGCAAGTTGCGCAAAATCAGGAATCAGGCACGCAGCGGCGTCAAGTCGGAGGAGCTGGTCGAACGCTACTTTGGTGAACTCGATCGCTCAACATTGGACCAATTGCTCAATATATATCGCATCGACTTTGAGCTCTTCGACTACGACTATCTCAAATATTACAATATGGTGCACTCCTGGAGCTTGGATCAGAGCCCCACAGCCTCACAGGCCAAAAGCGGCCCGCGGGCGAGCATCGAACCTCCGGTAACCACATCGGCGACCACATCTCTAAGAACAGCTGCTGTTCCTGCAGCATGAATGGATCGACGAGTAGAGGAATAGAGATTAAGCCAGGCCAAAAGTATATAGCTCATATTCACGATAAGAATCTTATTTATGTACCTTTATACAGAGATGGATCAGTAACCGTAACCCAACCGAAACTATATGTATGTAAAACTATATGTATTTATTCTACCACTGAGTAAGGCCAAATCAATGTTTTCCAACAACCACCAAATGAATCACGACAATTTTCGACCTCTCTTGGGCAATGCCAATGCAAGGAAAGCAAAAACCAAATGTAGATAGAATGACTAATTTTTATGCATTTTTTCAGAAGTCGTCTAAATACCCACACACCCACACACCCACACACACATACACATTGAAACCATAAAATTTCCAGAGTTTTGCATCTTTTTAGATGGCTCTTCTAGTTAGTACAAAGTACAATTTACAGTTAATACGAATCGATCTTCTGACATCCACACATATTCTTTACTACACCTACGACCTCTATACGAATATCTCGCCTGCTGTTTTTGAAAACGAACAATTTTATGCAAAAACCAAAAACAAAACAAAGACATATTTACATATATATATACATACAAGTACATATATATATATATATATATAGATATATACAGTATATACATAAATATTTACAATAAAAATATTTACAACCTCGTCACCTTCCCTCTAACTATAACTCTAACTCTAAGATTCAAAGCATTCTTAAATGTATGTAAAGTTTTCTTCTCTTACATACATGCATACACACACACTCACACATAAATACATACATACAAATGTACATACATATATGTACATCGGGCATATGCACTTACATCTATGAATTTTATAAACAGGTCTTCATCAACGTTTTTACCTTTTGGGGACTGGATGGGGTTTTTCCTATTCTAAAAAAAAAAAAAATGTAAACCAAAGAAAATTTAAAAAATATACATACAATTATAAATTTTTGGTAACTGTGTCAAAAAAAAAAAAAAAAAAAAAAAAAAAAAAAAAAAAAAAAAAAAAAAAAAA